AGATGTTTTCAGATGGTTAACTCTTTGGTGGAAAAATGTCTTCTTTATTCCCCACCTGTGCAATACAAAGTATCTTCTGTATTTGGGACATCATTTGCTTGTTAGTACTTTGTCCTTTCATGCAAGTATCTTCCACAACAGGAGACAGCTTCTCCCTGGTGTTTGGTCACCATTTATTATCCAACGAATCTGAGACTAAAGCTGGAGAACAGCTCATGGGCCATGACCTAGAGACAGTTCAATTCAGTAGTTAGGGGAATTTCATGTGAAATCTGAGTTCTGTAGTAATTTCTTGGTATGAAATCAAATATTCTTTTCTCTTCAGACCCCTTCAGAATCTGCATCAACCCACTCACCTTGCCCATGAAATGTTAATGTTTATTTCCTTCCCTCTCCTGCTTCTCAGCAGTGAAACAATATTACATATAAAACAAGCTTCTTGTGCAATGAAACTGCAATCCATTTCGATGGCAACTGCACACATCTTAAAACTAAAGTTCTCTTCATTCTCTCCAGGTTTGAAACTGAGATCAAGCCACAAAATAATTTTGCTGCTGATCTAAAATCACTGCTTTGCATTTCAGACATCTTACACTAAACTCACATTTCCTACACTGGCACAGGATGAACTGGTTGGCTGTATCGGATAGATACTTAAAAGACAGCTTTCACCCCTCTGACAGAACAAGAGCAATTTCAACCCTGAAGGAAAGAATGTGGTAGCAGCTTTCCACGCCCTCCCATAGCACCTCTGTGCCTCCATCTGCCTACCCAATTCTGTCTCTGCAGAGCAAACTTCTTAGCAGAAGGGCCTCAAGTTTGTGTGCCTCCATCTTTCACCTAAGAGTCTCCCTGCAGATTCTTCCTCTCACAGTGTCTTTGAAAACCTCTCTCTGCCCAGCCACACTTTAGGATAACTACAAAGGGCTAAAAAAACCCTGAGCTTTGGGTGACCCACTGTGGCCATCTGTCTCTTCTCACGCTTTCTTTTAAAGCCTGCAATGTACAAACAGTATGAGAAAAGGGCTGGGTTTCTAAACACCTGCCAAATGCAGGTCCTGCACTTTCAACTGCCAACACTTCATTTAAAATGTACTACACTAAGCTGTGAACAAACAGATTTATTTAACAAACAAGCTCAACATAGGGATAAATCTGCCAGCCTTAAATCATCTGCAATATCTCTCTAATGAGAACATGAGGCTTTAAGACTATGCAGACCATGACTTTCTGCTCAGGTGGTGCAGTCTTGGCTCTCACAGCAGACAATCCCTACAAGGCTGAAAAATGGATGTGAATCTGATCTAACACGGAGAGATGTTGAAAGTACCAGCTCCAGCAAACTTCCATGTTATTTCTTCCATTTACTTTTCTTCTGAAAGTTCTTTTCTGTGCTCCTTCCTAATTTATGACTGGTTGGACTAGATCATGTTGAAGAATATTCTATTAATGGCTCAGGTGGATTTATTTTCAGAGAAAGAAGAAATAGAAGCAAATGATGTCTTTGCTAAGGAGTATAAGCACACTGTATTGTGATTGTCCTTCTCTTCCTGGGTTCCATTCCCTAGATCACACAGCCACTGCACCTAGTACCAACAAGAAGGGACCTATGAAGAGGAAGGTGTTAACATTCTTTCCCTCCATGGCCTCCTACATTTGGTGCTCCTCTGCCATCATCCCCTTTCATGCCTGCCTAAGTTAGGACTGACCACCACCTCCTAATACATTTTAAATGCCATCAAAACAGCACTAGAGGTGTTGGAACTGCCCAGTGCATCACAAAACTCCACTCTAAAACTTCTCTTTCACTTCCTCTCGACTTCTTGCAGTTCTTTTAAAAGGTGCCCTGTTTCTGTTCCTTGCAAGTGATCTGTCATCTTTCCCTAAGAGGCCTAAAGAACAATCTATTTTGTGATTTTTTTCAGCCAGGAGATTCATTTCAGAGCTTGTTCAATTTTGATAGTTCCTCATACGAGTTTGAAGCAGTATATCTTGTTTGTTTAGCACCCCTCTGAAGTGATGCTCATTTCTCCATTTTGTCTAAACTGGAGATGCTAACAGCACAAACTCCTGATTTACACTGAAAGAATAAACCCATTATTTATACTTCAGATTTGTGTCCAATGATACTAAGATACACCCTAAACAAAGCTCATCCCATAGCCAAGCAAGCACAGGCTTGGCCATCTCTCTCACCCAGTAGTTCAGGCAGCAGCTCTGTTTCAGCTCCTAACAAAAGCACTGCCAATAATTTCTCCTATTTCCTTTCTTTACACTTCTCTCCTGAGTTTCCCAGGTCAGCCTGTTCTCAGTCTGTTCTCCTGCCACAGAGCAGCTCAGCATTTCAGAGAGCAAGACTTCTCACTGCTTTGATCATTCTTTCTCAGTTATTTAAATGCAAGTTATCAATCATTATAACACCCTCATAAACCCTGAGATGGCATGTTATTTTACAGACACCAACCATGAAATTATTGCAATAATGAGTAGCACAACAGGTTTTTGTGACATCTTTCTAGATATTCTTCCCCATTATATTCTGCAATCAGTTTAGTATAGAGAGGGTGTGAGCTTAAATATACCCTCACGTACATGTTTTCTGGGACTTAAATAGTAGTGCAATCTTCCCTATTTACTCTAGGAAGTATTTTTAGTGCTGCTACTCATTAGTTTTTAACTTAACTCAGAACAGACTCTTCAGATAGCATTCCTTTTCAATATTTTTGTTGAGGATTTCTCAGCTTCTACAGCATAGTTAGCAAGTGTTGCTTAAAATACACCTAAACCCACTTACAAATATTACATAGAAAAGAACACAAAATCAGGAAAAACACCACATGCTTGGATAGCTGAGGGCACTCACATCTGCAATGCTTTTTCTCTTTCCCCATGGTGGACACCTACTCTTCTCTACACTATTAAGGCTGCTAATTTTAGGTCTTTAATTAGGAGTTCAGTTTAAAATAGTGCATGCCAACAGTATCGTGGGTATTCCTTCAAACACAGTACAAACACAAGCCACAAACAGAACAAAATTAAAAAAACAAACCACTAACATTAAAAGCCTAATGTATTTGGGACTATCTAACCTGATCAAACTTCTTGTACAGGAGTGTTTAGCCAGTTCACTGGTGAAAATACAGGTGTAGCTACAGATGTTCATGAAGTTCTCAAGGAAACTGAATTAAAAGAACAACTAAAACACACAAGGACTAAAGCAGATAGCAAAAATATATTCCTATGGCTCCGTGGCAGTTAAAAATTTACACGAAGGTTTAATTGGTTTTGAAAAGCAGGCAGACATCAATTAAAAGTAGACATATTTGACAGGGAAGTAGTGACTTGGTCACTAACACTCTCCTTGTCAAATATGATAAGCAGATGCTCTAGAAGGGCTTTCTGTGTATATGAAGGCACCAGCAGAGATACATTACAAGGAATCAGCAAGCTAAACCGACCCATTAAACCCAATATTTATGGAATCATAATCATGCTTTGTACATGGTTTTTTGTACATGTTTTTTTGCCAAAACATCTGACAGAGCTGGAAGGATTTGTTATGCCAGTGCAGCCCACAAGGGGTCAAGTTACATCCAGCACTTTAAAAATATATTTACTAATAAAGGGCAAACTCTAGGCCACCATCCTCCTATATTACCAGAATCATCTGGGTTGCCAGATGTATCTCAAAGGGACTAAGTCCTTTAGAACTTTTCTTTCAAATGAACAGAAAAAAATCATAATATGATGGTTGGTGCAAAGAGATACAAAACAGATTAAACTATAATTCATTAATTAGATGGATAGGATGATTAGATTGGAGAAGTTTTCCTAATAGAATACCATAGTGTAAAGACTGTTAGTTTGGTTTTAGACCAGCTATGATGCTTGAAAATAGTGAGAATGGCAAGCTGAGCTAAAAACAAAACCTCAAGATTTGATATGTCTGATATGACAGAAGAGCTTTAATCCTTCCATGTAAAAGACACTTCGTATCAACACATCTGATCATACAGCAGAACTACATAAGAATCTTGTGAAGCTAAACAGATATAGGTAAACATAAATATAAATACCACCTTGACAAAAATGGAACAACCATGTCTAATCAGAACTCCTGTAACAGCACATTGTGAATGCATAAAGAATGTCTTAGATTTGAGTGGTTTCCAAACATGATTTTGTGAATGTGAGATGTCCAAATAAAAATAAAAAAATATTTTGTGAAAGCCTGTACTCCATGGAATAGAAGACTCGTGTAATAGAGTAATAATAACCAGACTCCTGGTCTGCTTTGTAAAGCTCCAATTTAAACTTAAATTAACTATTTCCCATGTCATTCTTTCATCCATTTGGAGAAACAGAAATGTTTGCAATTAAAGCCTTCTGACTGTGAAACAGTTTCTTGACACATAGGTAGCCTGTAACTTGAAGCAGCTACCCAGCAAAATTCCACTTAAAATTTTACAGGAAATGATATCAGATAAGATGATGTCCCAAGACCAGGGTAAAAAAAAGATGAGTGGTGGAAAACTGTGTTTGCAGGCCTATTTCTGTGAGGAAACACATTAGGAAAACAAAACCGAACAAAAAAAAAACCCAAACAAAACTCTCCAAAACCAAAAGAACAAAACACTAAAGGTCAGGTTTTGCCTTCCACTTCTGTACAGGAAGGAGACCTGTAATGAGTAGCCTGCATTGTGTCAGCAGGTACCCTCTGAATGGTTCCAGTTGAGTTGCAAATTGGATGTTGCATTTCCTGCACTACCACAAAAAGTTCCAGAATTAGTGTCAGCCTAAAGATGACAGTTCATAACCCACAGCCACTGCATGAAACTGCTTTCACCTCGTCTTTCTGCTTCACTCCCTCCAGATGCTAAACCCATCTTCCATTGGAAGATGCCATATGGAAACTGCACACAGGACAGAATTCCCTTGGGAATGTGTACTAAAAGAATCAGTGCTCCCCAAAGACTCAGAGTTGTTTTACTAGATCTCACCTCCTCAACCATATGCTTGACTTTCTTCTGCTGGCAGTGAACCATGTCATCCAGGTGTTTGATTCGCTCTCTCAGGCTGGCTGCGACCTCCTCCAAGTGCTGTGACCTAGCAAAGCAGGCAAGGATCAAGCATGTAAATGGAGAGCTGTGCACGGTAAGCAAAATGAGAACAATCCCCATTATTCATCATAAATCAGGATAGGCGAGTCAAATTCCACTGACATATGTCAATTTGTCCAAAGTGCATCTTAATGGTAATCTCAGTCCAAGTGCCTGTCTCCTCCCAAGTTTACTCACCTTTGTCTTGCATACTGGCACGCTTACTCAGAGCTCTAAGTGCTGACAATTAAACATTGTGACAAAACTCATCTCAAAATATGTTTTTCCTTTAAGTGAAAGGCTCTTAGACAACTAGACCTTTATCATTAGAAAGACACATTTAGCCTGACTATAAACGTTTTGGAAATATATAGTGAATAAAAGCCAGGAAGCAGGTCTGCTTTCAAAACTGTCTTACTGCAGGAAAGCCTTGAGTCAAGAATTTGGTAGAGCTGCCAAGAGCAGCAGAATGCTAAGTGGAGTGGTATTAACTCATCAACAGTCAGCAGGAATTGCGACTGTTTTAAGTTTGTACATGACTCTTCAGATAGATCCTACATTTCTTTCTTTAACACAGAAATTGAACACCCACAGAATTCCTGCCCCAGGTTGGTTTGTCAGCTTGTCAGAAAAGTAGTCTTAGAATATGTAAAGGAACAGGAGTGAAGCTTTTTAATAAATTTTTGGCTCGTTGGCCATGGGAGTGTCCATTTTTATCTGAATGTACAGTTCTTAAAATTGTTCAAAGAACACAATGCCTTGCTTACAGAACAAACTTCTGTACTCCAAGGTTCAGACTGGACAGAATCTGAAAAGTGAAGGAGGGAAATCAAAACCAAAAAGGCTTTTTTCATCTTGGTCTGTGCACAGCAGAAGAAACTGTTGAAGCTGCAAATAGAACTACCATTCTGAGACAAAGCAGCAGATGGCAAACTGTAAGGCATGATTCTATTGAATGACTGAATTGTATCCCGTTTCCCCCAAAAAGTCTCTATTAACAGTGAAGCACTCTACAGAAATTTAACTGCAGCACTTCGACAAGGACTCAACAAATTCAGAACATTTCTGCAGGGTTTTCAGTCGTGAGTATTAAGGTCTCACAAAACTACAATTCATATTTTTGATTGCAATTTTAACACATATTTAGTATCTCATTGAAAGAGTCAGAATTTTAAGCATGAATAGCAGTGGAGAAATGAACAGATGTCCTTCCTCAGGTGGAGATCAAGTGTCTGGTCAGGTACAGATAGGTAAAGAGAACTTAAGAAGATACTTCAGCATCACCTGAACATAGATTCATTGCTTGCATAGCATAGATTGCAATTGTGAGCTTGCTTGCATTGCACAAATTCCTGCCTCAACTTTGCCTTTACCCTTTCACTGCAGTGTAACTTTTCACACTGAAAAGGATCCACTGAAGCAAGAAGAGTCTGTGTTATTCAGAGGTAAAGGAAGAAAGCAATTATCTTTCATCTCCATATTCTATGTAGTTGAACATCTGTTCACTTTTAATTATTATTTTAACAGGCTGCTGTGAAAATCCATTCTTGCCCTGACACCAGAGAAGCTGGTCACAGATCAACACAACCACGCAGTGAGAGGCTCTCAGCAGGGACCTCCTTTTATGTTTACACTTCCTAAAGAACAGCAGGATGCCAAAACCCTCGAAACAGAATTTCTGGGTGCCACAGAACCACAAGCAGTAATGGCCAGTCTTCGCGAACGAAGAACCGGGGAAGGTCTTTCCACCTTCCAGCCTGCGCATTGGATTTTTTAGGTGAGACACAGTGTGCGCGGAACTGAGCCCACCCTTTAATCCTGAGGTTCATCTGCCGGGGCCAAGCACGCTTGGACAGTGGCAGCGAGGTCCTCAGGACGTAGATGGATTGCCTTACAGGGCTAACGAGCTCCATCTGCCCGGGGAGTGGCTCTGGCCAGGTATTGAACCTGGGTCTCTGCGGTGACAGCGCAGCACCTTAACTCTCTAGACCACCAGGGGCTCCCACCACAAGCAGTAATCAAGCACAGTTATACAGTCTGGTTTATCTTTACCCGCTCAAGCAGCGTCATATAAACCTTTGAGTGGCAGATGCAATTTTCACTCCAATTGCAGTTACTCTATTTCAGTGCTGGATAGAATTCTCTTGGAACTTTGCCTCTGACTTTGCTTGGAGCTTTCTTTTGCCTGGCCAGAACACAAAGAAGTAGCTATGGATGTACATGCCACCTGTGGGCAGAATCATCAGACCTGCCCCTCCAAGCCTCAAATCTATTTCCCCCTTTCCCTCTTTTATACAAAAGAGACACCCCTGGCAGTTATATGCTCTCCCCAAGAGTTCCTATTTACAAAGGGAATGTCCTACAGCTTAATACAGGATAGAGAATGTCTTGTCATTTAATACTCTGTTGAGCAGTCCAGAAGGAAATAATGAAAGTATTCACAGTCAAGATCATACTGTGCTGAATTTGGGAATGCAGATTTAAGAAAAATACAAAGGATGCCACAGCTTGTTCTGTCTACAGTATACTCTGCATATTTGCAAACAACTTTTCAGGAAAGATGCATGAAGATTTTGTTGCTTTGTTGCAAAAATTTATCATCTTGGTATTTTACATGTAAATAAACCTATATTCAGAAAGACAATCCCTACCAGACTCCAGTTTTTAAATTAAAAAAAAGTAAAATTCAAGTGTCTTCAAAAACAACCCATCCCCTAAAGTTTCCTAGCAATACTAGAAGTTCCACAGACAAGATGGATCTCACCTTTCACTGTCAGAGTTGTTTTCAGATTTCGCTCCGTATATTTGTATTTCATTCAATTCAAGTTGTTTTTGCAGCTGCTGACGTTCCTAAACAAGAAATGTTATCCTTCAGTTCTCCATGTGTCAAAATGTAGAGGCTTCACAAAGCATATTTCATTGCAATTCAAAACATCATTTGTGAAATTAAAATAGAAACTGATTAAACAAAATTCATGAATTTCCTACAGCCAAGGAGCACAGAATGCGTAACAGTAAAATCAAATTCCCAGCTATGCATGGAAATAAGGGAGTTTTCAAATTTCTATTTGAAGATGTATGGCTGTACTTGAAACTGAATTTTTTAAATAAAAAGATGAGTCAGCAAAATCTTGAACTACATAAATGTCAAATTGTCTATGTTATCTCTCCAAAAAGATCTCCCAATCCAAGGTTGAGATAAAGGGTGTTGCTGTTATTTTCTTCCCCCAAAACATTCCTGTTCATTTTTAAGTGCCCAGCAGCCCAGTGCTTGTGAAGATCTATGAGGACTTGGGGACTGAATTAAAACAAGTTAACAGAGAAGTAAATCTGTTATCCACTTTAATGGGAATTTAAGAGGCATTCAGTCTTACTCAGCAAGTATCAGCCAGATAAGAGCAAATTAAATAACTAATGTGAAGAAATTCATCAGTACTTAAGAACTACACTGGAATCCATTATTCACTGTGTAACACTTATAAGCTGTAGGCTGAAGCCCAGATGAAGTTAATGGAGCCACTAAAGGGGGATATTAAGCTGAATGATTTCTCACTGTAGTCACTAATTCTACTAATAGATCTGCAAGTATGAGACAAAGGGGGCTCAATGCACGTTAGACTAACCAGTCAAGCCAACTGGCTTATAAAAACCTATTTCTCAGTAAAGTACTGAGACTAAACATGTACTATACTGCAGTAAAACTGGTGCAAAAAACCCACTTCATCTGTAAGAACAGGAGATTGTATTCAATCCACTGACTAAAATTCTCTCTGCTCCCATATTTCAGATAGCAAGGCACAGATCTTTAAAGCTAATGAGATGCCTGCTGCTGAATGAAATGAGAAATACCACAGTGTATCCACGACTATTTCATGGTCACTGCAGCCACTGCTGCCCCTGAGCTGCACATCCCCCACCAGCCCCTCCTTGCTGGTGAGAACGAGGACCAGCACAGCACCTCTCCCATTGGCTCCTCTATCACTTGGAGAAGGAAGTTATCAACACTTTCCAAAGGAAGTTATCAACACATTCCAGGGACCTCAGTTGCTTCTATCCTGTTGTCCCTCCAACAGCTGTCAGGGTGGTTGAAGATCCCCATGAGGACCAGGGCCTGTGAAGGTGAGGGGCACTCCCATCTGTCTGTACACAGCCCCATCTGTCTGGCTGGCTGTAAAGACTTTCAGTCTCCCTGTCTGGCTGGTCTGTAGCAGATCCCCACTCTAATGTCACCTGTCACTGCCCTCCCTTTAACCCTGACCCAAAAGCTCTCTGTCGGCTCCTCATCCATCCTCAGGTGGAGCTCCATGCACTCCATGGACCTACCACAGCAACATCTGTAAGTGATTTTGGATCATTTATGATTATTACTTGATTAGGCTTAGTCTTTGCACACCAAAGGGAGACTGAATGGTCTTATTAAATTCTTTCTTTAAAGTAATGTTAATTTCCTAAAGAAATGTTGACACCTTAGCCCTGACTGTAAAGAGGACTAGAAAGACAGAACCACCACTTCATCACAGTGTCTCTGTGGCAGTCCAGGTCCATTTACTGATCTGAATGCAATAATTAAGAAGCAAACAGCAATGGTGTGTCACTGAGCAGCAGAAAAACTACAGGAAGTTATATTTCCTCCATGCACTGGTGCATTTCCTTTAACGGCAGGAATCAGCTCACTCTCATACCACTTCCATGCGTTCAATCAGCCTGTCCAGCTCCCCAATTCTCTGGTCTTTTTCCTGGATGCTGGTTTCTGTACTCTGCATCTTCTTATTGGCCTCTTCAATAGCCTTCAGAAGCCGATTTGTTTCCTCCTTAAAATAAGAACATTTAAAGTCATATAAGCACCAAGTATATTAATGAGGAATTTTTATTTTTCATTTCTTTTAGGCTACAGAGCTAAGCTAATAGCTTCTAAGCAAGCTCACAGCTTTTCACTACACCCACCCAGAAATCCAGAAGAGCTGTGACCCTAAATGTGAATTATGCACAGCAAAAGACTTTGAGGTACACAAGTATCAGTAAAGAACCAGCATGACAATCTGAGAAAAACTTCTACTCATTCTTAGATATTTGTTTTCCCTTCTGAGGATGCTGTGAACTAACAGCTAAGAAAAATATGCTGTTGCAGAAGATGGTTTCTAAAACACCAAAGTTTGCCATGTTTAGTTTTGTACTTTCCTCACATGTAAAGCAATATGAATAGAAAGAGACAGGGGCATCTATCTTCAATCTCCATCATCATCCATCTCTATCAGTTAAAAAATGCAATGAGTAACTGTTCACAGAAAGGTTTTCCTTGGGGGTAAAGGAAACCAAGGAACAGGAAGAGTTCTTGCTCCAGTAGCATCCAGTGAAGTTGTTTCCCCTCTCCTTCCTAAAGTGTCACTAAAATTGGGCATTATATTTTTCTTTTTTTAGAGAATCAAGAGTTAAAAACCCAAATAACTTCATTTCAAATTTTGAAATCTACATTATCATTAACATTACTATGTTTGAACACATTCTTTTCTTAGTCCTACAACTCCAGAAGTTTGGAAAGGTTAGTAACTGTGGCACGAGTAGTCACAGGGACAGAAGGGAAGGAACACATGTCAGCTCTGGGGTACTGAGGATTGAGACACACCACCAAGCTGATTACCACTCTTGCAGGCTGGCTATACATACCAGGAGGATTTCTTTCTCAGCTTTATGTTTCTGTTCCTCTTCTCGCATCTTTTCCTCATACTGACTATACAGTTTTCTTGTCATCTCTCTCATCACTTCAGCACTGGCTTCCTGCGATGATTCCACCTGTGAGGGAGGAAAGCTGATCCATGAGTCAGTGCAGCATTGCTGGCAGCAGGAGAGAGTTCACATGCTGTGAAAATAACACTTCGAGCTTCAGCTCCACCTTGTTACAAATCTGACATTGCTGAGGCCGATTTCCATTTGCATCAAGACCATTTACACCATTCTTCCACCACACACATCATTGCAACTTGTAGAAGTTACTGTTTTATTAAGTTTCAATTTGTCTGAATTTAACGCATTGTTTATCCAAGGTCAGGCAGTGCCTCTTTACTGAACCCTTTCCTTACAGCCTCCAAATCACTCGGTTTGCTTCCCCATTGAAAAGATTTTGTCTCCCCCCATTCTACGGAAACACAGCTTAGAGATGGACTGGACTCAATCCCTGTTTCTAAACAGCCATGAACACTCAAAACAATAATCACTTATTGCTGTACCCTCCCTGTTCTCTCTTGGTTTTTCACAATCTGCTCTTTGTGTAGGCACAAGAAGTGGGGTGACAACAGAGCAAAGCAGATCAGGGAACTATTAAAATTAAAATTTATATTCTCAGTGGTGTGGAAGGGTTAATTTTTAACAACAGAACCAGAAACTTTACTAGAGCTACAGGGAAGAGGGTAAGAATGGTAGTTCTGAGACAGGATTTCCTCCTTCTGTTGGCTGAAAACACTGCCTGAAACACACCCTTGGTGATTAAACACTAGATAGGATACTCACAGCTTTAGCCCACCTATTGTAGATAAACCACAATATAAGCAAAGTAAAATAACTAGTCCAGGACTTAGATCTCTTCCTAGAGATGCTGTGAAACAGCCAACATTATACTGAAATTCTGTTGGTGCTACAAAAGTGACAGGAACAGGAGGAATACACTGTCATCTGGGAAGAGAATCAAGTGTTCCCTGCTGATCACTACACTTTCCACAGCTACAAAATACACACTTCTGATGGTTTTGGGTTGCTTCTTTTTTTTTTCATTTCAAGGACTGAAAGATTTAGTAAACCCTTGTGTTCATCTTGCATGGCAGAAACAAGCTTGTTTACTACCCAGTGCAAAAACAACACTGCATTTCATCCTTTGAAGAGGGACTGAGCTCTGAAGGACTCCTCTGGTACTGCAAATGTCCCCTTTGTCATCCCACCTAGACCAAGACTGTGGCACAGGTAGTGACCTGACCTTTATGAGAGGGAGTGGAGTTAAATTAACCTTCCACATTTCAGGAAGCCTGAACGAATCAGATCATTCAGAAAAAGCCAATAAATTAAACCCCAGATTCTTTAAGATACATTGAACTGGAATAGGATCTCTGTCCCTGTATCTCCATCTTTCCTTGTTTGTAGCTTGAGCAATGAGGAAAGTAAAAACAAGCATAAAAAGGGAGAGGTATCAGGGCATCTGTTATAATACTCATGAGCAGCATCTCCATTCTCAGTTGTTACAGTTATATGAATAAACTGAACCTACTCAAAAATCCCCGTAGGTGTGTTCTGCTATCCAGAATACAAATGGCATACAGTAGTTACTGCTTTTCAACTGTTCCACACATCAACAGATTCCACACATCCTCTTATATCCACCCCTAGGATTAGATCCCAGATGTCTTGGCACCTTTGATACATGATTTTATATTTAACTGTCAAAGACAGAGGTCTTTTTTCACTCATTTTGTACTCAAACTGCAAGTCTGAGGGCAAAATTTACACTTTTTGCATATAGAGGCAGGGCAGGTATTCTGCAGACCTTGACATGCCTGAAGATAAACAAATCCTTACACATTTAGTAGAACTGAGACTTAAACTGTGGTTCTCAGCCCTCAGAAGCAGACATACCTTTCCCTGACTTGTTGATGCATGTCCTTAAGATTATAGCTAAGCCCAAATTTCTGTTTTAAAATCTCAGTTGCATCACCTTCGCTTCTTTTACTGGTTTTTTTCTCTATTTATTTCCTGCTGACAACGGCAAGTACAAAATAGCCTGACTTTTATAGCCTGTAAAGCTCCACTACAAGAGGAAACTAGAACCTGAATTGTAAGTTGAAATGCGTTTATGTTAATGTTTTCTTGTTTAGCCATTCATCATTGAGCATGAATGCAAGTCACTAGACAGCCAAAAGAAGCATTTTCTCTGACAAAATGAAACATAAATAAAGCATCAGTCACCTTAATTTCACAAATTTGTCCCAAAAAAAGTCACAAATTTTTCAAAATTCAACAAATTTTGATCCAGTACTATATCCAAATTAGTCTACTTTGAGCAATTTTAAGAGCAGCAAAGGTTTGCAGAAGAAGGTGTGGGGGTTTTGTTGGGTTTTTTGGTTTTTGTCCTGGGCTTATTTTTTTTTTTTTTTTTGAGATTAAAGGAATACATTTGGCATATGAAGGGAGAACATGGTCAAGCTTTCTGGCATATAAAACCTTGCAATTTGTGTTTTATTCTCTTGCATTTCTCTGAAAGAAATAGTTTAATTCTCTTTTCAAGATACTTACAGTACTGCTGACCAAATGCTCATAAGACTTAACAGATTACCTATGGTGCAATGCCAAGTAAACTCAACATCAAAGAAATTCATATAGCCCTGTGTAGAGTTATAATAATTCCTTCACTTAATAGAAAAAGATGCTAATAACCATTTAATGGTTTGAATTTCATTCTGCCCACATCCCTGAATCTTATGTTACATCCCTTGTTCTGGAAAGTCTGACTGTCACCAGCTGAGATTCTTTGTTATTAAACCAGTATTGATTCACAGAAATACGTGAGCTCTAGGGAATGCTGAGGGCATGAAGAATGAAGAACCCTTTACAAATAAGGCCAAGGAATTATTTTAACATGCTCCTCATGCCCTTGCTGTGCAGTATTTTTAGAGGAGTTTATATACCACACCTTTAACTTCAGTAACTGATTTTCAATTTGTGCTGTTTCCAGTTGCTTTTGCTTCTCTCTCAGCTTTTCCATAGATTGCTCATGTGTATGTTTTAGATTCCTTATTTGTTCCTTTATGTCAGTGTTCTCCAATGTAACATCCACTAGAGTTTTCTAGAAGAAAGAGGCAAACCACATATTAAAAATCAGAAATAATTTGATGAACTAAGATAGTCAAGAGATTATGAAACAGGTAGGACATTTAAAGAGCTTCCTGATGTACTAATGCAGTGTGAACAGTTTTGCAAGTTTTAACATTTAAAATGGCTTTTGTTGTTGCTAGAAGGTATTTCCATGAGAAATGTGCTCAGTGACATCAAGTCCTGGAATATTATTTAAAAAAAAAAAAAAAAAAAGAAGGACAGGAGCACGGATATAGTTCAGTATGAATAATCTTCCCTTCTTCTCTCCAAGGGCCATGTGACACATATAAAAGGCACTAGACTGAAAAAAACTGTGACAATCAAGAAAGCAGGAACATTCAGTTGTTCAGCTCAGTTACATGGGAATTTGAAAGTCTTTAAAAAAGAAAATTCATTCCCACCTTGTTCCTCCCCCAGCATTTCACAGTTACGTAAAGTTTCACCAGTGTTTAGCATTCAAATATGCCACTCCCATTCCTGCCAACAGCTGAAGGTAGGAACAAGTCAGGGGATGGACCATTTTGCACTACACAGAACAGATCACATTATCACCTTTGATAATTGGTAGAGACACAACTAGTGGCATTAATCTGCTGTGTATCAGTATCTCTTCATTGTACACTATTTTTAATGGGTTTTTTAAACACAGTGTGGGAACTTTTTTGTCTTAAGTTTCCTAAATAAGTTGCTTTAAGTATCAAAGGCAGCACTTCATGGTCTTGTTTAGTGCTAGAATGTACATCTGTCCCCCATGTTGCGTGTATGCTTTTAAACCCGTGTTAGCAAAGGCAGTTGTCAGCTGGGACACAGCTGTTGAGATGTACCTGCAAGTCTATTGATGCTGATGTCAAGGAGCTGTTCATTTCGCTAAAGCTATCTAAGGCTGCGGCCTGCACTCGCACATGAGTCTCTAAGGATTCCTGATGAGCATTTGTCACCTGAGCAGGAAAAAACAAACAAAACAAAACAAAAACAAAAAGGGTTTATATGGAATAATGATCAAGTTTACCTATTCTTTCAAAGGGAGCTTACAGAAGAGAAAGACCCCAAGGTTCATTTTCACAGGACCAGGATGCTTAGAGTGTACAGGCCTCAAAGTCTATCCTTGCACCTCATAAACACACAAACAAAACTTGCTAACAGAACAAAACAATGCTAACAGAAATAAGGCACAAGTATCTCTGCAATCACTGCATTAGCTGTTCTTTTCGAAAGGACAAGAGGACACTTGGAGCTGTCTATTCAGAAGGATTTTGTACATGGAGCGGGCAGATGGTAAAAAAGTTACAGAGTGAAAAGCAGAAGAATGCAAGAAATAAGGAAATCTAGAAGGGCTTGGATGAACTGTAGAAAAGCCTTAATTAAGAAGGAACTGACTAATCAGGTACATAAAGAAGCAACATCAAGAAGACTTAAGGATGAAACAATACGAAGCAAGTAGGAGAAGTCAGAGTGCTTTGTAATGTGAAAATTAGTAATTTTTTTGTTATGTACACAAACACATGCTTAAAAACTGAAGGGGGGGAAAAGGCACAAAATTACTTCATTCAAGAAGAGACCAAAACCCAGACAGTGTAACTAATTACAATCAATCCAATAATAAAGAGGAAAAGAGTGTTACTAAAGGAGGCCAGACCAACTCACATTCTTAGATGGACTAGATTTTAGGGACTGATATGGAGCACAAGAAGTGTTCAGTAACTAAGCCATACACAGATTAGGTCAGTATAGGGAGCAGAAGCCGAGTAGTTGCTGTTAACCTTATATAAATGTGTGCTCATGTAAAGACAAACAAACAAACGAGCAGAAATGCTTTGGATGGATTAAGAAAGTTACAAGATAAGACCTCGGGGTGAAGAAGCCCAGGGCAGGATATTAGAAGTACAAATTTCAAACAAACTTTATGGAAAAAAAAAAAAAGTATTCCTGAAAGCTGATAGAAAAGAAGGCATAGTGATTGAAAGCTGAAGCAAAGAGTATAGAAAGAATTTTAGACAGGATCCCCAAATAGGCAAAAGGTGACAGTCATGTAAAACCAAAATCAAACCCCAATAACCAACCAAACAAAAAGTTTATTTTATTAGGTAGAACAACACTTGTGGTTCAGGCAGTTCAGAGTATTAAAAAAGGGAAGGGTTGTCTCATAATGTGCCATTTATGTCACAACCTCTTCATAAACTGCTAATTTGCTGCAGAACTAGATATTCTGTCAGAGCTGGTCAGAAACCCTTAATTAAGAAAGAATTTCTGACTCAAGCAGGATTTCTACTGGTCTGACAGAAGATCTGGAAGTGCAGGATATCAACAGTGCTATTCAGTAAAGATCAGCAGCAAAGACAACAAAACTGCACCTGAATCAGCATTTACCTACATGCACACTGGGTGGGAGAGTTGTCAGCAGCATTACAACTATTTAACACAGTTTACAGAAACTGAGTTTTCTCTCTCTCTTCCTCTCAAGTCAGGGTGATTTTTTGGGGGTTTCTTCTTGTTTGTGGTTATTTGTTTGGTTTTTTGAGATTAGTTGCCACAGAATAGAAGTACCAGTTTACAGCAAGTTCTGACTTTTATCATTAGTATAGCACGTAGGGAACGACAGCCTCCAAACCAGGATGGCAGAAGGGTACAAAGCAGAGTCCCGATCCCTTGAAGTCAGAATACTTTAACAGCCAAAGCTTCGTGTGAACGAGGATTGTCAAAATCAATGTTGAATATAAATCCAAAGCAAGTTTTCAGGGAGATATTTTGGACCAAAGAACTCAGCAGTTCTACAGGCTGCAACAGCTTTTATTGCTAAAGCAGCATGTCAGAAGAAAGAGAGGTCACCAAATGACCATTGAAATGTTCAATTAAGAACCAAAAGGTAAGTAATTTTTTAGAACTGTCAAGCACTTTTATATTAAAGAATTCTGCTACTTCTTTTACCACAGTGTTTGAACAACAAAGTCAGTAAAACTGAGCAACATTTCTTGAAATTACACCAATTTACCCACTGCTCCTAACTACGTATGTTATTTACTCAATCCACCTGGCAGCTTCCTGGTACACACATCTCCACTAATTATGAATACACACAGACAGTGGTATCAAAGTCATTCTTTTACTTCCAAGAATGTCCAGGCAATTAGTAATTCCATATGCAAAAGTATCCCTGTCCTGCTTTACCTTCCTGGATGGAAAGATAAAGAAAGAAAGGAAACTACAGATGTCACATAAACCAATGAACTGGAGTGAACTGGAAAATCAGTTCTGTTCTGCTAAACCAAAAGAAAAGTTTCTAGATAACACTGGGCATTTATTCCCATATGCTTTCCCTACCAATGAGTGGATACTTACTTTGAGTTCATTTGTAAGCTGCTGTATTTTTCGTTTCATTTCATCATATTCACCATACATTTTCTTTCTTACTTTTTCCAGAGTTGCTCTCACCTGGTGTCAGAAAAATCAAATGCCTTTATGAAACTTATGGATGATATTGTTTATACTAGGACATAACTTTTTTCTGTGTTCTTCATTGTTACTTTCCATAATTTCCATTATTAACCTACCTCTGCAGAACAACAATTTACTCTTAAGAACAAGAAAAAAAACTAAAGTCTCAAGACTTGCCTACATAAGGATGATACAAATAACTGTCTCTATGAGTAATTCTGAACTTTCCTGTAGACACCTAAACATTTCTCAATTAATAATTAAAATAAATTAATTTCAATTAAATTATCTATAACGTATTCTAACCTTATTATTAAGTGAAATAAAAATAATTTGAGCATATATAGTTTTATTTCTGAAAAAAAGCATCCACACATGGATTTAATACACCTCCATACTTTTGAAAGTGGTTACTTTTCCCTGAGTATCCTTTGAAGACAAACTCCTCTGATTCCAGACTCTTATTTACCAATGCAATTTCAAATCTGAAGAGCAGAGAACTCAATTTGATTTTAAGAACTGTGGATGCAAATTATTCCTTGTCTTTCTAGAAAAAAGGGAAAAAAAGACCAACCCCCCTCCCCCCACGCTGGCTTCCAGCTCGGATTTACACGCCACTGCAGTCTTGTTTGTCTGCAGTCTACATTCCAGCCACGTAACTCAAACTCTTTTTTTCCTTTTTTCCCCTTCACCCCTGTCAAAGTGGTGAGACTGACTGCAGATAATCCAGGCACCGAGTTTACCTAAGCTTACCTGCATAGGCTTGGGTGAGGGGAAAACTTTAGTAGGGTCTAATACAGGAAGGGGATGTTTCCAGGATGTTTCCACACCCTCTCCCTCCCACAAAGAGGGGCACTGGCCACCAAACCCATGTACTCAGATGCAGAGGAGACCATCAGCTGCTCTGACACAGCCCATCATTCTTGCTCTATTTAAGTCAGCACATCCGTGACACAAGCTCAGGACTCTTGTTTAAGACTCTGCTTTTGAAGACAAAACTTATCTGACAGGCCAAAGTTCACACATAAGCACAGCTGAACACAGCTTCCAGAAGATAGGAGAATAAGAACCAGTATGTGTCTTCCTATGTCTGTCCCATTTTTTCCTGGAAGGATCAGCACCCTGAATGCACAAGCAGGACATGCAGTTCACCTGGTGTGTCGTGTCCCTCCCTGTCACAAGCTGGCTGAGAACAGAAAAGGGCAGGGAGATGGTCCCAGTCTAGGCAATCTACAGCAGGTACGAGGAATAGTGCAGTTCGGGGAGCTGGCCCTGCTGCATGACAATTCACCTGTTCCTTGACACCACCCTAGCAGGGCAGAGAAATTACCCAGGCAGGAAAGCAGGAGCAGGGCAGTCTGTGTGCTTCACCAGCACTGCAGCAGTGACATACCCTGACACGCCCTAAGCTTGAGAGTGCTGAATACTGGGAGGGGAACTCAAACTATGAGTAAAAAGGGAAAGAAGCAAGTGCTGATAGCTATAGAGACCAGGTAGATGTTAAGAGCACACATAATTACTATCTCTTACACTGCTGGTTTGGCTCAGTGTTCCTCCCTTTTTATCAACTCCGTTTGCACTGGAATCAGTGTAACCTGATAACCACTGACCAATGGCTCCATGGGTGGTGAGGGCAGATGGAAAGAGAAGGTCAAATTATTTGCCCTGGGGTAATCAGGGTGTTAAGGGCAAAGCCTGAGAACAAAGGACTGATGGGCTGAGTTTCAGGCACAGAAAAAAATTCAAGCAGCATCAGAAACACATTTTTTGTCTTTCAGGAGAGCTTCTGCCAATTATGATAAATGAGCATGCACAGAGAAAGTAGTACAAAGACATCATTATTAGGCTGACTATTTTAAGGCTGCCCCAAAATATACCCAAGTGATTTTACTATGTCACCTAATTTAGAAGCCTTTCCAAAACTGAGGGTTTGGGGATGGGGAAGCAGAGGAAGAGAGGAGAGTTTATCCTTCCAGGTGTCTGCTTGCACAGTTCCTTCTGTCAGCAACAATTTTCAAGTACCACTTGGCAGAGAGGCCTTGGGCTGGACTGCACAATTCCCAGGTATATATAGCACGGGTTTTTCCTCAATTCAAATGCTAACAAGGCAAGCCTTTCACTTCGGAGGAGGTTCCCAATTCAAATTCAAGTGTTGGGCTGGACAGCAGTCATCCCATTATACACTCACAGCTCTACATGAATATATGGAAAAGATATTTGATAAATGTTGAGGCTGAAACTGTAACTCACTTCTTTAATGTAATTCATCTCTTCTTTCAGCTGATCAGCTGACCAGCCATAAACCACCATTTCTCTCTTGTGGTTGTTGTCAGTTCGGTGCACAACACCATAGACCATCCCATGAGAGAGCTTCCCTGGAGACATCCCATTTGGTACGTGGTAGAGCTCCTAAAAGTAAAAGAAAAACAACCAGAACCAAAAAAAGAAGTCATTTTAAAATCAGACTAGAATATAGAGATGTCTTCTTTTCACTCCCTTTAATGGAAATGACATAGGCATAGCTAGAGGAAACAGACTGGAGAGGTAGAGTCATGGGAGGAAAAGTTCCCCTGGCTTATTTTCTTTCCCCAACATATGCTACTTTTCTGCATTCTTGCAAAGCACTGTCAGGTCTCTAGTTCATTCTCAACTCTTGAAACTACAGAACTGTCCCTCACTGCTCAAATTCCCTGCTGCAGGAAACATAAAAATTCACAAGTTTGCTTAAAAATTATTGAAAGTTTTAAGAAACAAAATTTTAAAAATTTTAGGCAAGGTTCCTTAAAAAGAGAGTTCAGAAAATACCTCTTTAACTTGAAGATAAACAAAGTAGAATTTCAGTTTGCAATTAAAGCTAAGTACGGACCTCCAAGGCAATCAAACACTCATTTCAGGGCTCCATTTCTCTTATAGAAGTTGTAGAACCGACACTGTAAGAGCTGGGGCAAAGCTATGAAACAGCATTCATGTGGGTGTTCCAGTGTTAATAACTATTGCAGAAGGATAAATCTTCTAAATCAGGACTTGCTATGTCAATGGAAAGGCTGTTTGAAAGTGACTACTTTTGTTATTTTAATGATCTGCAGAAATCTGTAAAACGTCCTTGCAGTAGTTGTATGAATTGCTTCAAGGCACTCTTCACAACAGACCCCTCTTATTCATCTCACCAATATACTCAGCAAGAAAAATGCTCATGTAAACAGCAGGAATCATTTCCCTCAGCAGGTCAATAAATATCTGCAGGGTCAGATGTCACCACCTGACCTGACTACTTACCCAGCCCTCCTTCTAACCAACCCAGAGGAACATCCTTCTCTAGGAAGCATCTGAAATGAGTCAGTCTCCAGAACTACTCACTTCTCTTGATTACAAAGAATTTAAACACTTGGCTTAGACAAAGAGACTTCCACCTTATGACTTTTTTTAAAAAAGGAGACAAATATTCTTCATTAACTTGAAGTATTTGCAAACTACAATCCTGAAAGTGGTGATTATTTCTGAATGGAAAGTTAGAAAGAACATTTGGAAACATGGCTGTTACTGCTTAGCTTTGCACGTTGGTTTTGAAAGGCCAGTTCTGGGGGAAAATAAGTTACAGGTGATTTTACTGAACTTTCTTATGCTGGATATACCAGGATACAGGTAAATTTGAGAATATTTATTACACTGACTTTAGAATATGTTTGGTTTAGGTTTTTTTGTTCAATAAAGACACTATAGGACAACCTTTAGGAGTCAAAGCAGTGTCTAAATAATCTCTTTGACAGCAAATAGAAGCTGAAAGCTCAGTGTCTTATATCCACCTGCAACTGCATCCTAGAAAGTCTCCAGCCCCTACCCTGACAGATGAGAGTCTGCAAGTGCAGTCTAAAGCAGCAACACGTCCAGTTTTAGCAGCCAAACACAGCTATGGTGGCAATATAAGAATAAATACTTCTTTGGGTAAGGGGAAAAGGAACATGAAAATTGACTTGCATTAAGAAAGAATGGGTAAAGACAGACATTTGGTTTATATTGTGTCCCTCCTGCACAGCACTGGCAGATTTTCAAAACTGTAAATCCTACACATTTTCCTTTATTTTATCATTTATAGCTTAATGATGTTGCTGAATGCAGGGCTGGGAGGGGAACAATCACAGAGGAGACACCTAATAAAGGACATTTCAGGCAAAGAACAAAACTGTAAGCCATCATTTAAAAAGAAAGCCATAAAACCACTTTATGATAAAACATTGGGCAACTAGCCCTACCTATATACATGATATAATTTTGCACTTTGTAAACATTACTTGCAAAGCTTCATATCCTCATAATCAGCCATTTCATAACTATGTTTTTTGTTTTGTTCTCTGGTTGTGCACAAATAAAACCTCCACACCTGATATTTTGAGCATAGAGAAATACAGAAACTAGATGGGACATGACCCTAAACTTTTTTGTGCTTGTTTGCTTCCAGGGTTGTACAGTTTCTTTCATATCTTCATTGCAGCTCCTCCCCTGCATCTGGAAAATGGGATTACACACAAGTTTCCATCTTCCTGATAACAGAATGAATAATCACTCTGATTGTTTAGAGGTTACCAAGGCACCAGACACTGAATTCATAAATCCATACCCTTTACCCATGATCATTCATTTTTAATGAGTTGAACAGCTGAACACCAGCAATACCAAGATCCTTTGTGCCTCTGAAACATTGGCAGAATTTTCTGAAGTGCTCTTTGCAGAATTCTGTAGGAAAACCTATTACCAAGATCCTTATTTTTAGAACATTATTGACACACTCCTAAGGAATGTTTTGAAGGATTTCCACCCCACTTCCCACCCCAAGAAAGACCTACAAATTCAGACCAATGCATTTGCAGCTGAAAAATCTCCCATGGCACTTACATATGTATTTCACAGATGAACAGACTTAAATTTACATCATATTGGGCAGCACGTGCAGGATTAAGCACGCACAAAGGCAATCTGCTTACATGTCTCTTGTAACAATGCTAAACTTGCCTGTTATCTGTACTTGCACAAGCCTCCCAAGGTGCCTCTGTTACTTCTCTCTCAGAAGATTAAAAGAATCTCCATCATCTGTTGACTGTTACAGTTCTTCTGTGTGCTACTTAAAACACAGGATATTTGGTTTACCCTCTCCTTATTCCTCCTTCCTATCACAATCCCCAGACAAGCACCTGTTGAAGTTTCAGTACAGTTCTTGCTTGATTTAAAGCTGTGTGAACCAACAGCTACACAAATAACTGCTCTGATGTCTTTAGCCATTTTCACCGCTGTTCTATTGCAGCTTTGTTTATCTTCTACTCCTCCTTTTCTCTGTTTGGTGACTTAATTTCCACTCAGTGACCACTTGTTTCAGGGTTCTGTATTAGCAGACGAAGAAGGGCTGACCTGACGCATTCAGTCTCCTCTTAGAGGACACGTTATAATCAGAAAGTTCTGCTCAATGCAGGGTTGAGAGTCGGATGGATTGCTTGGCTTGTTGACTTTCTTAATACACCTTTGCCTCTAAAGGAGGCCTTGCTGAATAGCTCAGTTCTCAAATTTCTCCACAGATCTGTGTCACTAAGTATGCATCGAGTGCACTTTCTGCCAGTTTGCCTCCTCTCTTAAGCCACTTCCACCCACCTTTGTCTATTTTCTCCCTTCACTGTTTTTTCCTTTTCTGCCTCGTCCTCTGTTTTTCCTCTGTCACATCCTCTCTCTCCCCTGTTTCCTCTTTCATAAATCCTGGATTTTCCACATCCCCAAGGGATACAGAAGAGTTTTTTCCAGTCAAACACTTTTCATTATTTTCCTCTATGTCCCACACATACCCACATATTTTTCCAAGTGGGTCCTCAATGGCACCCACTACAGTGAGACATCTCAGTGAAGATAACAGTACAAGTAAATACATGCTGATGTAAAGCTAACCAGAGAAGTGCTTAAAGAAGGTTTCATCAGATTAGCCACCCATCCCTGTTTAAGGTCAAAATATCAGTCAAATCCCTTCTGATGTGAGCTGCTGATCTGAAAAGGCAGACTAAACTTAAGCAATTTGTGAATATTTCTTTGTACCTGCAGTCAGTTCTGTGACAGCCCAAAGCAACAGCAAGATGCACGTGCATCCTGTATCAGCTTCCAGGAACAGGCTTTGTCTGTGGTGCAACAACAGAAATGGTCACACAGAACATGCTAAAGAAATGCAGGCTATGTTTACTTTACTAATAAGTATTTAATACAGGAGGCTCCACCTCAAGGTTGCAAAAGCCTTGATAATTGCCATGCATCCTGTTTATGTGTCTGTCCAAGGACATAGCACAGGTGAGCATGAAATAGGTGAAGCAAAGACATTATAAAACCAAACCCTAAATAGGAGTTGTTAGCTGCTTTTTCTACGGCCAATGGTTTTATTGGCATCACAAAAAACACTGAGAGATGATGTTCTTCCTATTCTATCTCCATCAGTTTTTTTAATTAAAGTCAGATAGCCCCATATTTCATATTTCTCATTGCCCCAAAACTGAAAGCAAAAGCACAGAAGATATTTCGAGGAAAAAAGGACATCTAATGTAATGCTTAACACAGTTCTGGGTTTAGCACTCAGATGGCCTTAAAATTTTCCTGACTCATGATCTTTTGTTTACCCACACATCTAAAAACTTTGAACAAGAACTGTATTAGTTAAGCCAGGCTTTATCTTTTCCTTAACAGCCACATTCCAGACGTTTCTGAAACATCCAGTTATCTTTTACTTGTTCACTAGTTACACAGGGAACAAGAATATTCAGGTTGTTACTTAGGTTACATATTTTCTGTTCAGTAAAATGACACATTTATAACATTGAGCTCTCCCAGAACAGTTACTGTGCTCTGATGAAAGGTAGCTCTGTTGATATGCTTTTTCATATTCCTCTACAGCCCATGAAAATCATGTTACATTTACGGATGTTTTAAATAAAAATGGTATTAAAATGGGGAAAATATGCCATGACATAAGACATGAGTGTTCTTAAATTCATGATGCTAAAAAAGAAGATACGCTTAACACATTCCAACTTTTAAGCTCCTTGGGTGTAGAATTTAGGTATCCATCTCAAAAAATAGAATTGAGAGGCATTATATATACAAAGTCATATGTCATCCATGAAATCTGTACACAGAACACCACTGTTTATACATTAGGAAAATAAGATACAACAAATGCAGCAGAACCTCAGAAGTCAAGGGAATTCTCTGCAGTTTTCATTTAGTGCTGGTTTTAATGAAGGTGTCCCTTAATTAGTACACATCAAAGGTAAAGCAATCAGTGCTGGAGAGACTGAGGAACAGTAACATCATCCACCTGTAGCACATGAGCCACATTTGCTAGGGCACAAGTTCTGCTCTGCAGACAGGAGTGGGCTGGCAGCAGCACAGAAAGGAGGCACTGTCCTAGATTCAGTGTGCACAGCAGCCCCTGCTCACTGCACTCCAGTTCTTGATCTGGGCCTCACACGAGTTTCTGCTTGATTCTTACCAAATCCCCCTTCTGGCTTCTTCACAGCCTACTTATTTTGCTGGGGAAAAAAAAAAAATGTTTGCTATGCTTCTGTATTCCTGCTTAGGAAGTAAAAGGAATTTCACCTCTTGGTTGTGATGTTTTGAAAAAATAAGAAAATTCAAGTATTTGAGGATGTATCCAGCCAAAGTATCAAGTAGAGTTTAAGACTAAATGCTGCTCAAACTCGGGTAAAAGCCACAAAGACAGAAAAGTGACACAAATTTCTGGTGTATCATCTCATTTTTGTTCTCTTGTCCATGTGTCCAAATGAAAAAAAAAGTCTGTCTATACGTATCTCCATATTCTGCCCTCAAAAGCTTAGCTGCAGCTTCCAGTGACACTTCCAAATTTAGCCATGACAATGAAGAAAGAGACTGATGGATAAAAATAAGCCCAGTCCCAAACAGGAACAATACAATTGTCTGGTAGCCCTTTATTATGCAAGACAAGGGGCTTCAGGACACTCAGATTTTGCATACAATCTGCCAAACACAATATTCCTTTGTAATTCATGGTGAAATAAACAGCCTCACACTACTGTCATCCATTGTCTGTCATGAACAAAAGTAATGGAACAAAATCAGCATAGTCTGGGATCCTCTCTACCTAAAGTGCTGACAATTCAGAGAAATCCACCACTAGGCTTTTAGCTTGTAACCTGTCAGCTAAGTTCTCATATCCTTCTTTCAAGGTATCAGAGCCTAAATATAAATACAAAAATTCAACATGACACACTGGAGCTCAAGCTCACTCCCCCTTCAGCTTCTGAGATCAGTCTCTAACAGCACCATCTGCCAGCCTTTCACAGAAGGCTGGGAGAGGCCACCCTAGTACAGCAATGCCTGCAGCAGTTTTATTGCAAAAAACTACCCAGATCCATCACTTTAATCTCTTACACCAGATTATTTTTATTTAGTGGATGTACAGCAATAAAAACCTCAATCTAGAAACTTACTGCACTGATACAGATTTAATGAAGTTCAGGATACATTTTCTATGAAGCTTGGACTACAGTGAGAAAGGCCAAGCCAACTGATACAGGTTCACTTCTGATCTGCAAAACAAGACATTGGAAGGATCAGCTGCTGTGCAGTTCATCATTAGCTGATTCTGCAACTGAAACGTCTCTTAATGGTTCTGAGCCCGAGAAAGATGAGGGCAAGAAATAGTCAGTGAGCCATCATTGTGTCACGTCAGGGCAGCTCAAAATCACCTCCTTTTAATGAAAGATTTGAAAGAGGAGATTACAACCAAATGTCATGCCATGGTGTATTTTTAGTTTCCTGGCATTCCCTCTGACACTCAGAGGCCATTGCTCTCCTCTCTCACCAGCAGAGACAGGGACAGGGAATAGTCTGTCTCTCCCCAGCACTTGTCCTGCCCAAACAGGATAAGTGTCCTGCCCTGCTCTGACTGCCTGACTTGTTTGAGCACTCCAGCAAAAACTGTGCAGTCCCACAGATTACCCCTGCAGTTCATTTCTGTAAATCACACAGCATACAAAGACAGCACAGAACTTCAGACTCCAACAAGGAATCTGATGTTAAACTTCATTCTTACTGAAGCTGGATTTTTTTTACCTTACATTGTCAAGTGCAAAGCAGAAAACAGAGCAGTTCCCTAATTTCTATTACTGTTATTTCCAAAAAGGGGGCACCATTCTCAAAGGACTGTCTATGGATTACCTAAATTTGTAAAACTCGTTCTTCTCGAAGTGCTTTAAGTGATTTCATTAACATGAAGTCAGCTGAACATTGGTGATCAGCAGAGATATCTGATCACTGCTTTTAGATTTTTTTAAAATTAAATTGGAGTAAAAGTACCAGAGCATGACTAGATCATGAGGCATGTGTGCACTGGAAGTTATTGTATAACTAATTCAAATACATAAAGCAATAGATTACGTAGACAATAAAAATCTACACATAATACATTCCTGTCTGCCTTTAGAGACATAAGAGAAGACCAGTTCATGATCAGTGATTTTTCTAGAGCTGCTTCCATGCACTGCAATCTGTGGGGTAATTTATTTAATCACACAGAAACTATTAAACACAAATAGATGGTACAATTCCTCTGTGGTTTTTAATTGCTATGAGTTTGACTGATTAGATCCCATCTAGCTCTGAAGCCTGTATATATGCTTTCTAAAAATCATTAAATTGTCTAAAAGCACTGAACTTCAGAAAAACTACTCGGAACATGCAGTATTTAAAATGCACACTGGTTTTTTGGTCTCAGCTAAAAAGCTTCCATCTCTTAAAAATCACTGTGCAGTATCCTGAGCCAAATAACGTATTTATTATCTTTCATATCCTCTCCTCAACATTCTCAGATATAAAGCCCACTTGCCTTTACTTGTATTATGTGAGAAATAACAGCACTCATAAAATATAAGGTCCCAGAAAGAAAAGAAATTGGTTACATAAGAAAGTCACTACAAATTGTCCAAGCCCTAATCATTCAGGCTTCTTTCTTATTATTACACTACTCAGCTCCATAAAATGAGTAAGCCATGAGTCAATCAAAACCCTCCTCAAAAACAAACTTAGACTCCTCTTAGGGCAATGAGCCCTTAAGCTTAGGCCAGTCTGAGGGTTGCTGCAATCAGATACAAGCTGGCAAAAGACTGACAGAGAAGTATCTATAACTACTTCAGTATGCTACAACTAAACCCATCTGTATGAAATTTATTATTATTATTTAATGGTGGCCCCAAGTTAGTTTGCATTAAGGCCTATTTAATCCATTCTGTAAGCAGCATTTCTAGAGCTTGAAGGACCAATTACTCTGCCAGAGCACTGGATGAAAACCTGAGTGTATGCAATATTGGAGCACAAGAAATATCTCGTAAGGAATCCTTATCTTGACCATTTTACTTTGCATTTATTTTTATTGCTTTAGAATGTTTGTCTTTCTGAGTAATTTTACAGTTATTTTTGCTTCCAAGTATCACTAAGAAATTATTTCAAGTAAATCCTATTGTTGTTTTGCTTCTTTTTATCATTTTACTATTCAGACATTGGGTCTGGCAAACTTCACCAACTTCTTGTTTGATTTTCATTTATCAAAATATAAATGTGGTGAAGTTGTAGAGCCTGCCCAGCTTCCCTTTTTAGAGTCTATCCTTACGACAAATCAAACTTCATATCTTACTCTGAAATAGCTCTTAAAGAACAAGTTCTGCACCACAGCAGATTTAAGATTTTTTTTCTGTGAGTACATACTCGTTTCTACAAAAAAATTTCTACAAAATCCCTTCTAAGCACGACCTTCAAATCACTTTCACTTCAAAACAACCTTAAATTCTTTATTTTGTATTTCTTATTTGTACATCACCCTTTACCAAAGTTAGCTGACACAATAAAACATCCCTGTCCCTGGCACACCAGCTGCCACACACACCAATGCCCAAACCCTGCCTGCTAAGCCTATACCAAACATGAAACCCTCCTCAGCTGAGGATCAAGATCCTGTTTGATGCAAGACCCAGCTCCTGATAACAGTTTCCTGCTCTTTGGTATATGAACATCAAATAATCAAGTTTTAAAGGTACCTCAGTCACCAATCACCTCCAAACCCTCTGCTGTTCCTCCACCATTGTCCTTTTTTCAGTTTTGCTATCCCTAACTCCAAGGTTCAGGCTCAAAGCTCACAGCAACTAGTATCAGCAGCGGAGGAGGGCACTATTTACTCCTTTTGTACAGATTTTGACTTTGATTCTTAAAACTTACGCTTTTCTTTCTTTCAGTTTCCTTCACTCCCTGTTCTGGCTGTGGGACTTCATCAGGAGGCACTGTTAAGCGCAACCTGCAGACGTTCATCTGAAAGAAAAGCAACATTCAGGCATTACCAAAAAAAATTTAATAATTTGCTTTACAGAATGAACTGTACTAGCAGTCAAGTTTGAATTAACTATTTTCTACCTTCTACCACATAGCTGACAAAAGATCAGTTTTTAAAGGTTAGAGGGGGTTTAGATGGCAAAAAATAATTGAAGGGCATCCCCATAATTACATACCTGAATAGCAAAAATCCATTTCAATCAACTACTTGTTCTTAGGTACTTGTAAAGGACATTGAGAACTGAGATAACAGAACAATGAACATCATTTTCTACTTTCTGAATTCTGTTTGCTGATTTGCCATACTTATAATCTTCAAAAGGGATTATTCCGAAACAGAGTGTATTTTAGAGTGAATGCTTCTTCTCTGTTCAGTATACAGCCAAATATATGAGCCAAGGGATACCTCAGTGCTGCAACTCCCCTGAATGTGAATAGCAATATTATTGAAATCTATTACATACAAATTGTTTATAAAAACTAAGCTTCAAAACACTTCAGAAAAAATTTAAGCAGTGCTGTTTCCCAACTGCTTTTAGAAAAGCCAGCAGGGACAATATCTTTCTGTCCCCAGCTGCAGTTTGCCTTGCTTTGGGCTGAGACATCTTTGGTGTAATGATATTTTCAAATCAATACATTTCATACAAGAAATTTTGTTGAAACCTTCAGTCCCAGTCCTGTTCAGGAGACATTTTTGTGGAAAACAACTGTAAGTTCCCAACAGAGCACAGCAAATGATGAAATAAGAAATGTGACAGTCCAGATTGGAAGCTGCACAATACCGTCCTGTGAAATCCCAGCTGTCTGCTGGCAACAAAGAGAGCTCTTAAAGCTCTTCCTGTAAACTGCTGAAGTGTCCCTTTCATGATTACCGAGGGCCATCCCCACTGTTCTTCTACAGCCCAGAATCCCATCTGATCTGGATCTCTCCAGTTTTTCCTGACCATCTACCGTCAGTCATGCTGAATGTGTGTCTGTCTCTCTGAAATACCCCTTCCCACTGCACTTGTCCAAGCTCACAGCTCATTACAGCACTTCCTTTGGCCTTGAAAATGCCAATAATGTTCAGACTTTTCAAACTTTTCAAACAGGCTTTAACTTTCTCATCTTCCCAAGCAAAAACAATTGGAAGAACTGTCTGCAAATATCTGGAGCAACTTCACTGCTTTTTTCCTCCTTTCTTTAAATCTGCTGAGAGGACAAATCAACAGCATCTCAACTACTGGTATGTTGTCAACTGTATTTAAACAATGTTACGTATTGCCTTCCATCTTCCTCTCAGTTTGGTCTTCCAGGTCTGCAAGGCCTTCTGCCAATAAGGAACTATGTCCTGGCATACAGATAAAGTTCTTATAAAATATGTGAGATGTGTGAAGAAGGAATAAAAAGTCTCGAAGAAGATCAAGGTGAAATACAACTTACTCTTTAGACACATCTGTGAAGGCAACATTTTGTGCATTAATTCCTCATTCATGCATATGCTAGTAAATCTAGAACAAGAAGCCACAAAGTCACATAACCTCCCCCCAAACTTTTCATAAGAGCAGGTTATGCATTTATATTTGCTAAAGAATTCTGAAACAATGAAATGCATTTAAAAATTATCAGTCTTGGCACACTGGCTTTTGACCCTGATTGACTGCTGTTTGTTCTAAGAACACCATATACTACAGAAGCTGATGGTGCTTCCCACTTGTTATCAAGACATATTAATAATAAATATTAATAATAAACTTCTCATCTTTAAAACTCTTTGATTCATAATGTAATCACTATCACCTTTTCTCACTTGTTTAATTTCCATTTCCCCTTGCCCTTTCTTCCCATTAGCTTAGTGAGGCTCTTTCCTCTTAAAACTGTTTTTCAACATGAAGGGAAACACAGACTGGCATTCCTCCATGGAGGCAAACAAAGACCAGGGTCAGAAGTAGGAAATAGAACTGAGTCTGTGCTGTGCAGGAAGTGACAGAAGAGGCCAACTTTTCCTTACCCTGATTTCAAATGAAGGAAAACTGCACAAAAAGAAATTAATGGATTGCTAGGATAAAACATTAAAAACCCCTCAGACAAACAGAAATAGATAATGACTGGCAATTCAAAGTTAGGAGAAATTGAGTTGTGTATGATTCTCTGAAGCTGGCAAATAGCTTGCCTACTAATCAGTACAGGGCTAATTATAGGCAACATCGATCAGAGTGCAGTGATTGTAAATAAGTAATTACCCCTGTACCTGTCTACCAGTCATGACTGTCTGTCACATCACAGAGCTACTATGAAGGAAATCACAGAAGTCAGTACAGATGGCAGTCAAATCATAACAGATTGGAAATACAAATTTACAACAGTAATTTGTTGAGACTAAAACCACTGTATAATCAAAGGGTTATAATTTAAACAGTTTTTTCTTGCCCTTTTCACACTGTGTTATCCATTACCCCCAAACCATTTCCCCCACCCCAACTGGCAATCAGCTAAGGATTTTAGCCTTGAAGTGATGCCCACTGAGTCTTGTACATCAGTGGCAAAGTACCACCCAGTTCCTTGCTGGGACAAACCTACACAGGCTGTGCTCTCGCTATTGTTTCTAACAATAGAACTTCCTCAGCATCCCTGGGGAAACAGCAGCAAACATATAAAGCAGCCATCCACTTCTGCTCCTCGTAGGCCCCAGATGATGCATTCTACCTAAGGACAGAACTACAGAACAATCTGCTAAAATTCAGAAACACTACAGATACTGGAAGGGAAAAACAACAACTTTTTCCTCTAAGCTCCAGAAGCAGTCACAAATACTGGACATACACTGTTCTTGCTGTGCAGTGTTTTCTGAAGAATCAACACACTGTACCATTTGTCAGCAAGTTTACTTGAGCAAATGAATGAGCAGGCTCACATGGAAATCACAGCGAGCCCTCCCCCAACTGCAAACACTGCTGTAGTGATGCCTTAAAATGGAAATGAAACCGTGACAGGAAGAGCCTCCACTCAGTGCCAAACAATGGCAGGATGATGTGCATGAGGATGAAGAAGTAGTTTCCAGAAACCAACTGGGCAATGCAGAGATGGGGAGGCGAATGAGAACTACTCCAACAGGGAAAAAGCTGTGATTCAACTGTTCACCGACAGTAAGAATGAGTGAGAAAAAACAGGGACAGACATGGCTTCCACCTTCCCTGAATGTCACTGACACTCTACCTTCATGAGCATAACTTTTAAAAAGAAATACTGGGTAGAAGAAGATTATTGGAAATAATCTTTCAGATTTTTGTTTAATTTGCAGCATCTGTAGCTTGGGCAAGTCACCCATATAAGTAATCTTAATGGTACCAACATTTTATGTTTGCTCTTGGCTTTTTGACACCAACAACCCGTGAGTGGCATTTCCAAAGCTCATCTGACATCACTTGTGAAATAAATACGCAGACAGGAAAACAGAGACTGAGAGGTTCAGCCCGGCACAACACCAGACAGCAAAAGTTTGCTGAGTGCAGTGAAAATTAACAGGTCAAGGCATGCTTTTTTACCAGATTTCTAAGAGGATGCTGGGACAGCATAGATGAGAGCTACTGCAGTATTGCAGTTGAGAAAAAAAAAACCCAATCTAGGTTAGTTTAAAATGTTGAGAATTCATGGCCCAGATCCACAGTCCACACTCATGTTTACCATCCTACTCAAATCACTGGGGTGCAACTTAAAACAAATACAGATGACAGATTCAGTTTGAGTAATGTTCTTCAACCTCTTCTTCCCCCTTTCTAAAAAACAAAGCACCCAGAAAGGCATTAATCATAGTTAACTATGGTCTGAAATAATTACAGAGCTAGCATTAAAATAATGAGCAATGTTGTTACAGAATAATCAAAGCTACCAGTACAGCAATAGAAAAATACAGGCTGCTGTACTACCAACCAGTCTTATTCTATTTTACAGGAGCCCCACAGGAAGGATGTGGGGCTAATCCAGCTTCAAACCAGCTTTGGAGTTAAACATCACCAGAATTTAATATTGTTGATACTGTCTGATAATAAAACTGCACAGGGAAAACACGTTTGTCAAGTAAATATCCACTACCCTACCAGCTCAATAGACAAAAATCACTCCCTTTGCCTAAAGCCCAACATCAGCTTTAGACTTTTGAACATGAAGGCAGAAAAACAGTGGATGTTTAATTTCAGTCAGTTCTGAAAAGCAAACAAGAAAGTATTTTCTTTTCTCATTTATCTGTTGATTAGCCTGCTCCATTTAAGAAATCTCTGCTGTGATATTCCACACACAATTAAAGGGCACTTTTCCTGTGACCACAAACACACCGGAATGTGACACACATCTTTCATTTATTCAGCAGTTATTCTAACTGTCTTCCTCCCCTTTTCTGACAACTCATGGTAAGGGAGTCACATTTCACTTAAAAATAGGGACAACAACTTCCCAGTGGGTTGTATTTGCAAATTAAGTTTTTACTTAAGAGAATGCATCACATGCAGTTCATCTTACATCATGCCCAGTAAATCTAATGAGGGGATGAAAATACAAAAATTATCACCTAAACATAAGTTCCCTTGCTTTAACTTCTTTAAGAAATACTAAAATAGGAAAATTCAGTGGGAACGCGGAAGACATATAGGGAACATAACTATGACTTTTAAGTCATCTTAATTTTTCCACATACATGAGCAATTTCAATTTTTATGAAGACCAGGGATCTTTTGCTGTGGAAGAAGCTGACCTTCTTGCTATCATGTAAAACAGAACAACACAAGGTTCTTCATTATTTCAATTAGGAACTCATATTTTTGGAGCATCAAAACATTCACTGCATAAATCAAGAAGCATCATGACCACAGGGATGTACTTCTTTGTAAGGACAAGATTATCACTTATTTTATTTCTTCACATGTGGAATGAGCACTCACAATGATAGCAGTGTGGCTACAGCAGTAAGAAAAGGGCTATTTAAAGCTGAGTGGTTGTAGAGGCATTCCTGTCATATCTGCATGAGTTTTACAATTTTTTAGAAGCACTTCCCAACAGATTAATACATCATTATTACTTAAGGCATCTATGAAAATGAAAAAAATACATCAATAAATCATGTTTCTGTGTCTGAGGAACTGATTATGCAAACGAATTACTATTGCCGTCTAAATCGTTACAATGAGCTTCCTCACGACAGGCAGAGAGCCTGGGCAGGCAAGTTCTGAGTTTCAGGTGTCCAGGCGCATTTCAAAGATACAGAGAGAAAGTCTCCAACACAAGTACACCTTCCCGAACAGCCAGGGACTAGCGCTACAAAAGCCTTGCGGGACACCCCAGAAGTTCATCATTTCCCCGCACCTACATCCAACGCACAAAAAGATGCTCTCGCACAGTGCAAAATAAGAGAGGAGAAGGAAAAGGGAAAAAAAAGGGGTGGGGGGGAGGAGGGGGAAGAAAGCAAGCAAGGAAGGAAAAGCGCTCCGCAGGTAAGTACAAGGGGGGGGGGGGGCGAGCCGCCGCTCCCCCGCGACACCTCCCGCGGGCCCTCCCGCCGCCCCCCCGCATGCCCCGCACCTTCCGCCGGGCGCGGCCGCCGTCCCCGGGCGGTCCCCGGGGGGTGGTGGCGGTGACCGTGAGGCCGGAGCTGTAGCGCAGCATCCCCGCGGGCCGGCGCGCACCGACTGCGGCTCCCGGGCCGGCTCCGCCGCTCCGCCCCGCGCTCTTGGCCGCGGCGGCCGCAGGGGCCGGGCGGGGGCGGGCCGGGCAGCGGGGACGGGGCTCCCCCCTCCGCCCAACCTGCGCCCCGCGCTGCCCCCCGGCACACCCCGGTGCCCGGTTTCCTCGCCTGGCGTGGAACTGGGCCAAATGGCCGTGGCACGCTGAGGTCCCGGAGCGGGGTGGCATTGCCTCTATTCAGAACTGGGTGTTGGGGCGCAGCGTGGGGAGGGGGGCTATGAGAGGAGATCCAGGTGGGTCCATCTGTCACTCAGCCACCTCCCGGGACTGGAAAATGAGGGTTAGGGCTAGCGGGAGCCACTGGGGACCGCCCCGTCCCGTCCCGTTCTCCGGTACCCACCTCTGAGCACTCTAACCAGAGAGTTCTATGTGTAAGATGGACACTGAACTCCCTTTCTCCCCACAGCAGCAATCCGTGAGCGACCCAGGGCTGTTCAGATGTTATCCATGCTCCAGGAACGACTACCAGACTGATCCAAACGCACTCCAGAAGACAGCTGCGGTTGATAGGCACAAAGCCGGTGCAGCTCAGTGCATGAGTGACAGCATCAGCCTTGGTGCCAAAGGTCCAGCAAGGTGAGTCGGGTCTGCTGGATCTGCCTGGCCCCGAGCCAGATTGCAGGTGTGGACTTCAGCATTTCAGATGCTCAGCTGTTCCGGATCTGGGCTGAGGGAACGCCATAACCCTACACCACTGCACACGGGCCTGGGCACACACACATCTTCACCTGCAGCCTTGGCTGCGTCTGTCATGAGCAGTGCATTCCTCAGTAATCACGGGAGTTATGATCAAAGGAGATGCTTTTGTCTGAAGGAAATGGCAGAACAAACACCTTAAACGGCATTTTTAAAATAATTTATCTCCTGTCTCCATGTAATTAAATTAAGGCCACGAGAAAACACAGTTATGGCTATGCAGTGTCAGTGCCTGATAAGATGTAAAGGACCAGAGTGTTGAAGAGAGGAAAGTAATTTACACTGAAAAAATGGAAACTGCACTGAACTCTGAGTGCCTCACCCTCTCTGTGTACAATGCCTCTGTCTGCTTCTGCCCCCAGTTGTCTGTCTCCAGGACAAGATACTGAGCTATCAACATGACAAGAATCTGAGGAAGAGAAGCAGAAATCATTGCCCAGCCCAGAGGAATGAATGAAGGTTCTGCACTTAGTATTCAGCATTATTTTTGTTGTTTTCCTAGCTACTATTCTTTTCTCCTCTAGAGGAAGGTAATAGAGCCCAGAGGAAGGTAATATAGCCCAAGGCAAATGAGTTTGAACAACCACTTGTATTTGGATTCCTCTCACCTCAAGATTGGCTGCATGTTTTTGTGGGAAGGTGTCTTGCGCCTACAAACAATTGCATTTCCATATGAATCATGCCTATCTTAGCTCCTGGTTGTAATGCTGCTTTTGTGGCTTTGCAGGTGGAGAACAGGTTTATTATCAACAACATATTCCTTCACAAGTATGTTGTCTACCCACTGGGCTGTCATTTACTTGTTCCTGGTCATTCTGGTGAGCAGGACTGTCTCTATTTAAATTCTGGTATGCAGACAACTGGTGACCTTTGTGGTTTTAGCTGAGGAGTTCATCAACTTGAGAGATTGTCCTGGTTATTCAGAAGTTGTGCCTTCTGGACTTCCCCTTTTTTTGGATACTCTCTGATACTTCCCTTCAGTCAGGGAGCTGCCCCAGTGTAGTAAGGAGTCTTGTTTGCTGCCTTGCCAGTTGACTGTGTATCCCATGCCACATGTGCAGTCTCTTCAGCCCTTGTGGAGGCTGTGTGGCTCTTTGCATGAAAACAACATTTTGAATAACTTTTTCTGCATCCCCAAAGCTGTGATACACTACGGGGATTACAAAGCCAACCATTAATATTGAGTGAACAACTGGTACTCCCCAGATAGCAAAAAGGAAGCTCAAGAGAAGCCGTTGCAGCAACATGAGAAGTACACAGAAGGGTGCAAAAAAAGCTCAAAATTATATAATTATTTTTGGATTAAAAGACAGGATAAACAGATTTGGGATATTCAGCTTGGACAAAAGACAGTATTGGGGAATGGGCAACAGAGGCATAGAAGATCCTGACTGGTTTGCAGAAGTGAACAGGGAGTAGCTATTCATTATTTCCTACCCTTGAGAGCAATGGATTTGAAGGAAACCAGGCACCATATTTGTGTGTGAAATTATGACAGAAGAATCACTGATCACAAAGAATGTAAATTCTCCCAAAAAGCAGCTGGGTAAACTCATGGAAGACAAGCTATGAGGGCTGTAAAACATGAAGATACATTTACAACTACTGACCCAGGAGGTCCCTGAACTGTGGGTTTGCTTTCTGATACCTCCCCAAGCACAGGACATCTGACCACTGTCTTTTCAGCCTTGGCATGACGTGACAGTCCAAGAAGTGACAATCCACAGAGTCACTTTCTCTTTTGCTCCCTCTCTGCTTGATTTTGGCTTGTCCTTGTTTGCCAGGACCCATGGCCTTACCTCCCTGGTTCTGATAGTCTGAGGTGGATTTGCCACAGTTTACAGCTCTTTTTTTCATTGTACACTGTTGAGAGCATTTTATACTGTCTGGAGTTTGGCACTAGATGAAAGGGGGAGAAATAGAAAATAAAGAAACAAGATGGGGGAAATAGAAAGTAAATCCCTCCTTGGGAATTATTTTGACTAAATTAACAGTACTCTCCCAGTTTTTACAGCTGGACAGAGTACTCCAAAGGTATACAGAGTCACGTAGATTACTCAGACAATACATAATATGGTGGCAGAACATAATCTGACCAGGACGCTGAGCTTTCAGTTCAAAACCTGGCACAGCCCTTTGTGACTGCAATGACCCAAAAGCACAGCAGGTTAATTAGAAGATGACACTATAGGATGAATATCTGGAGCAATAGTTGTTGTGAAATAGCCAATATAATTACACAGAAGCTGCAGGAAATTTGAAGTGTAGGCACCTTTTTTGTTTTTACTGTACTACTTTGTTCCCCCCCCCCAACAGTGTTACTGAAATATTTTTTTCCCCAGGAGGCCCAAAGACCATTTTGCTGTGGGAAAAATGAAGCAGGATGTCACAAAATCGAGAGGCATTTCTATGCAAAGCCCTTGGTCACAAGATGGACAACAGAGCATGCAATACACGGAGCAGGAAGCAGGTCTGCCCTAACAGAACAGCAGATCATAAAATAATTCCTGCAGGAGTGGGTAGCCTGGTCTTGCCATAACGAATTGCCTAAATGTAGGTGTGATAAAAAGCAGATTATTATTTTCCTATCAAAATCTCCTCTCCATCGTCAGGCTAACTGCTGACACAATGAAGAGGAAGAAAAAAAGTTCCACTAGCTCATGATCAACTGCAATATTAATTCTGTAATATTTAGGAATAATTGCAGAGGTACAAATTGAACAAGAACTCACACCTGTGGTCATTAAGGTTATAAAGTCCCATTTGTATTGCTACAAAACTGAGGTCTTATAATTAACTTCTAACAGCCTTCACTTTCCAGGGGGATTAAGATCTATTCTGCCTTCATCATCCCTAAGGCATAAAACCCATTTACAACAGAGATTATCAAATGAATAGGTGCATGTAAAATATTTCAGAACTCGACTTACTAAGAACTGTAGGCTCAATCAACTATTTTTCCTCAAAGCTTTTTCTTTTTGCTGCCAGCTCTTACCCTTGTATTTTACAGCATCGTGGAACCATCAAGCTCTGCTTTTTAGGCATTTAAAATGAAAATTTTAGCCTGCTAATGGTCATAAAACAGCTTGTTAGGTGACACGTATCAGAAACTGAGCCCCCAAACTCAGCTGTCATAGGTGCCCTGATATGCAATATACAAACCAATATACTGGTGCAGTTCTTCTCTTAAAAAATATTTCATCTTTCACTGGCATTACATCTTTACTGCATTTGGAGCTCCTGTGGTTTACAGTTACCCCTTTGAAGTGGCATAACACACACAGCCACCTGAATGTCCAGCATAGTTCAGCATCATATCACTTCTCAGACCTTTAATTCTTTACTCTCACTTGACACTCTTGGTACATGGCTAACACAAGACTACTACAAAACCTCAGAGCCTCTCCTGCTGATCTCACACAGACAAATCTAAAATTGGGAATTCCCACACCAGGAGTTTGAAATGCAGAATACACGTCATATTTTACAAAGCCCTCGGTACCTGTTTTATGCAATTATTTCAATTAGAGTGGAATTGAATAAAAAAAGAAGTTCCCGGAGTTACCTGCAATGACAACTTCATTCCATGTTTGCTGACAGTGAGAGTCATAGACTGTGATTGCAGTAAATGCTTCTTTGAATGCCTTCTGCTTTCGATTGTCCTACTTTGTACTTGAAGTCCATCCTCCTGTTGAGTTTCTCGAAGAATTTTTAACTATGTATCAGTAAAGTCACAAAATGCAAGGCAGCTCAGTAATACAGTGTGCTCAGTAACTTCCTCTGGAAGAGACAGAAAGGACAAAAGAGAAGGGATTAGTCACTGAAAGTTGAATCTGGGCATGAACACAGAGCAAGTCCATTGAAACCAATCATGTAATGATAATAGTAACAGGATTCTATCATCTACCTTTATGCATATGTGTGTATGTCAGTGTATTTCACATAGTTTGTACACCTAGCAGTTAGAAAAATGAGAATTACACCTGGTAGCTATGATCTGTAGAGTCAGACTGCTAAAAACAATTTATAGAGAAATAAAAATTACTGCCACTAGGATTTTTAGAAGGCTGCAAAGCCCTAGGAGGGGATGTTTTTCAATAAAAAGATATTTTTTACCTTTACTTGGGAGGGCTTTTCATAATTTTACAGTTACAGTTGTGGAATTGATTTTATTAAATAATTAAAAAAAGCTTGGACTTTAAAATCAGCTGAGAAATATGAAATGTATCGAGATACATACAGGACAGT